CAAACACCGTCACTTCGAAGTTCCATAAGATGAGTCGCAGTTGAGCGAACGTGCAGGTTTGACATTGTTTCATGAGGGCGTCGATGTGTGACGACAGCCGATCCAATCTCTGCCAGTGCGATGACGATTTCTGCAGAAAGTGATGAATCTCCGAGCGCGCGTGGACAACGCTCGGGTGCTCCTGGGTGGTTTCTTCGGTGAGGTGCGCGTAACCATCCGTGAGCTCGTCGCACTGCGTGTCCAGACATTTTATGATGGACACGACGTCTTGTTTATCGACGCTCGGCTCCGCGTGTCCCTTCAATTCTCCCCTTTTCTCCGCGATGTACTCGCGGAACGCGGGCTGTTTCAACGTCAAGGCAATGAGAGCTGAAATAGTCGCCAAGCGCAATCGATGTGTGAGCTGAAAGTAATCTGCCATCCTCAGTAATGCGCTCGCTCGAAACGCCGCGAGCTTGACGTCCACAGAGGTGTCGAGTTCGTCGTCAATTATTTCTCGAACAATCTCAGCCCACGCGTGGACGTGGAGCTCGGAATCATACTTACTGACTCGTATGACACTCTCCGAGCGATGCGCGAAATCCCCCGCACGTTGAATCATGATGGAGTCCATCACGAAGGAAAGTTCTGGCTTGATCTGCGCCGTGAGCGCGCAGTGGATGTCGCGCAAGAGCGCCCACGACATCTTTGAAGGCGGACATGTCAGCGAACGAACGAATTTTTCGAACGCAAATATCGGTAAACACAGTACATTTGCGTGCTCCATGCAAAACTGCCACGCACCGAGCGCCTCCTCGATGAAAGTTGGCTCCGCTTGAAATCGCTCGTTCGCGACGCCGATCCACTCGACGAGCGCGTCGTCGCGGCGGGCGCGTATCGCGCTCGGGAACTGCGCGTCGGCGCAGGTCTTGCTCCCATGCGTGCCATAAATCCTTTCGAGATCCTCCTTGCGAACGTCATCGACGTTCGCCTCGTGACACATCACAAACTCATCTCGAGCGTCTCGACGCGGATCGATTGTCGTCGATGCCTTCTTCACCAAAGTCGCGAGAACGTTTGCGCTCCGGCGATTCAAATGCCCAAGTTCGTTCGCGCAGAGCTTACACAGCGTCGTCACGCACGACAAGACATCACTTTCTTTATACTTCATCCATGTTTCTCCTTCTTCGTCCCTGTCGTCCGCCCGACGCGCGGGTGACACGGCGGATACGTCGGGCGGTTGCCTGGTTTCGAGCTCTGGAAGCAGGGTATCGAAAGTCACGCGAGACGTGCGCGGAAGCGCGCGCGCCGCGCGCCGCGCGAGGTCGAATCGCATCTGAAAACCACGTTCGTAGAGCGTCGCGTACGTTGACTTCGGATTCATGAGCTTGTACGCCGCGAAGGTGGTGACGACGTAAAATCCTCGCAAGTCAATCGGCGCGGTGAACGAGTACTGGTACCCGACGATGCCCTTGAGCTCGACCTCAACGCTCTCGCCTTCTTCTTCACGCGCCGGGCGTAGACGTTCATCAGAGACCACGCGCATGTGTCCGCGAACGCGGAGCGTGGACGCACTCTCGGCGTCTTCGAAGAGTTCCTCTCGGAATTTTACCTGGCGGCGCACGAGCTCGCCCGTCGGCGTCGTCTCCTCTCTGATTAATTCAAAGTCGTCGAGTAAACGCACCAGTGGGCCATCGTTCACGGTTTGCCCATCGTTCGACGCCTTTAACGCGGATTCACTCGCGTTATACTCTTCGCCGACGCCCAGAATCTCATCCGTGAGCGCGATGGAACGGTCGCGATCGATTCCCAGACCCGCTCTGGCCACCCTCCGGACGCCGTCCGCGCGCGCGCGCCCGTGTCGACTACGCGTCGATCTCGATTCAAGCAAACTCTCGACAATGTTCTGAAACGTGTGACTCAACTCCACCACGATGTCATCGATCACGCGTCGTTCTCCTTCGTTTCCTCGCGCGCTTCTCTTCGCCTTGGCTTTCCGCGCCGCGGCGCGCGCCGCGTCGACCACGGCGCGCACGCGCGCCGTCTCACACGCGCCCATCGGTTTCTCCACGACGATTCCGCGCGCGATTTCCCCCCGCACGCGCTCTCGCACGTTCGCACTCGCCTTTTCCCATTCGCTTCGCCTCGTCGTCGTCGACGCATCCTCATCCCGCGAGGCGCGCGTTGGTGTGCACCCATCGCGTCCTCGCGCCGTCCGTCGCGCGCGCGACGTCGACGTCGCCCCCCCTTCCCATCGCGCGCTCCAGCGCCTCTCGCACGACCGTCTCGAGCGCCATCGTCGTCGTCGTCGTCGTGTGTCGACGACGGGACGTGGTCAACCGTCACGCCTGGGAAGTCGAACCGACACCCACGATCGCGATCGACGGTCCCGCTGTCCCGCGCGTGCGCATCGATGCCCGCCCGTGACGGCGTCGAGGTCGTGTGGGCGAACAGTCACAGTCCGTGCGCGTGCGCGTACATCGCGATAAAAACGCCGATGTACGTACACCGCGGTGACGACGCCGATGTACGTACATCGCGACGAAAACGCCGATGTACGTACATCGCGACGTTCGTACATCGCGATAAAAACGCCGATGTACGTACGTACGTCGCGCGCGACGCCCCGAGACGCCCGAGCGCGCGCGCGGGGCGTCGCGGCATACACGCACGCGCGTCGCACGATGTCCCTCACCACGCGCATTTCCGCTCACGGGTACGTCCATCGCTCGCGCGTTCGACGCGTTCGCGCGCGCGGGGGGGCGAACGAGGGCGCGCGGGGGACGATGGGGGCGCGCGCGCGCGATCCGTATCGGGCGTATCTTCGACGATCGATCATCGACTGACGTTCCCGTGATCGACGCTCGATCGCCCATGTGGGTCGATCGCGGCGGCGACATCGGCGCACATCGCAGGCTTAAGGCTCGCGCGACGACCACTCGCGCGTCCCGCCGCTCCGTCGTCGTGTCCGCGGAAGCGGGCGCGGAGCGCCCGGTGTGGTACCCGGGTAAGGCCCCGGCGCCGCACCTCGACGGCTCGCTCCCGGGCGACTTTGGCTTCGACCCGCTCTCGCTCTCCGCGGACCCGGAGATGCGTAAGTGGATGGTGCAAGCTGAATTGCAGCACGCTCGCTGGGCCATGTTGGGCGTCGCCGGCGCGGTCGCTCCGGAGTTGCTCACCAAGATCGGCGTCGCGGACTTGCCGAACTGGGTTGACGCCGGCACGTACCAGTACTGGGCGCCGGCGGGCCCGCTCTTCTTCATTCAAATGGCGATGTTCAACTGGGCCGAAGTTCGCCGTTGGCAAGACATGAAGAACCCGGGCTCCATGAACACGGACCCGCTCTTCGGTTACAACTCCAACGACACCAACACGGATGTGGGCTATCCGGGCGGCTTGTTCGACAAGCTCGGATACGCCAAGGACCCGGCTAAGGCTAAGGAGCTCAAGCTGAAGGAGATTAAGAACGGGCGATTGGCCATGGTTGCGTTCCTCGGCATCTGCGCGCAATACGTTCAAACCGGTCAAGGCCCGGTTGAGAACTTGTTCTCTCACATCGCGTCCCCGGGCTCCGTCGGCTACTTCGGCAGCCAAGGTTTGTAAGCGCGCGGTCCGATCGATCACCTGTGTCTCTTCTGGCGTTCTTGGGCACCGTTGACTGCTTCGCCAACGAATACGTCTCGCGCGCCCTGTAAATCGCGTTCGGAGATCCATATGATTCCGTCATAATCTAGCGTCAGTAACTTTTTTTAACGGTCGACGAGAAGCGGCTTTTGAGAAATTTTTCCTCCAACGTTGTGCGTAGGCTACAGCTTTCTATGATCGCGTGCTAATCGCGACGAAACTAAACGGACATCGATCATACTTCGACTTCACCGTCATCGTGTAACTGTTTCGCGATCACGGACGCCCACTCGCCCTGCGCGTACGCGAGCTTCACCTCTTCTTCGTTGAGCTCCCTGATACGCGACAACCCGGCGTTGACCGTGCGCACCACACCCGCGGATATCGTCGTCCCTGTGAGCGCGCGATGACGAAACGAGATCCCACCCGTTAGTTTCCGCGCGCGAAGTTCAAGGCGTGTGACGAAACGAACGAGTCAATCGAATGCTAGACGCACCTAGAACGGTGGCGTGCGGCGCCGACTCGAGCACGGGCAGAGGCGGCACGCCGACCGATATCATCCCATGCTGCAAGAAAAACGAATGTACACTGAGTAGAGCGATCTCGTGTCCACCGTATCCTTGCCCCGCGCTCCCGACCTCGGTGAACACGCTCCCGATTTTCCCCTTGAGCGCGCACCCGTTTGCGTGAAACAACGCCAAGCGGTCGAAAAACGCGCTCATCTCCGACGCTATTCGTCCGTGTCTCGTCGGTGCGCCGACTATCACGCAATCACTCTCGAGTATGTCTTCCGGTGACGCCATCGCGCAGTCTAATATCCCTCGCTCGTAACTCGCCGCGTCTTCCTCCCCTCGGATCGCGTCTCGCACTCTGAGCACGCGCACCTCGGCGCCCTCGACCGCGCGCGCGCCCTCGGCGACGACGTTGGCGAGCGTCACCAAGCGCGCGGTGCGACTGAACACGACGACGGTGACCTTGAACACCATGGGCGCGCGCGCGTCGTCGCGCCGTCGACGCACACGGCGCGCGACGAACGCACACCACCGAGGCGACGAGTGCGTCGACGACGACCGGCGCGCGACCGGGACGATCGACCGTCGCGCGCGGGCGCCGAGGCTTTCGCACCGCCCGTCGTCCACGACGCGCGTGCTCGTGGTGCGCGAATGGACCTCAGTACGATGAATCGCGGGGGGAAAACGACCACGGGTGCGGCGTCTAGGGTTCACGCACGCCCGAGGCGCGTTATCCGCGACGGGCGCGCGCGCGGTCGAGGGCGACGCCGCGCGCGAGCGCGAGAGATCGACGGTGACGATGTCGACGACGGTGACGTCGATGCCGACGCGCGCGACGATGGCGCCGCGCGCGTGCCCGGGGTGCGCCGGTCGAGGATGCGTCGCGCGATCGCCCGCGCGGGCGATGACGCGCGCGATGTGCGCGCCGACGCATCGCGAGCGCGCGTCGACGGTGACGACGCGATCGATGCGAGGTGACGAGGAAGACGCGAGTGCGAGCCGAACGCGCCGAGACGCGTTGATCGCGCTCGGCGGGGCGACGCTGAGCCTGGGTGGGGTGGACGTCCGAGCGGCGCGCGCCGAGCTCGGGCCGAACGACTGTCTCGAGTGCGGCGGGCGCGGCGTCGTGGCGTGCGACATGTGCGGAGGCACTGGGAAATGGAAGGCTCTCAATCGTAAGCGGTCGAAGGACACGTACGAGTTCACGGAGTGCCCGCAGTGTTACGGAAGAGGCGTTCGCGTGTGTCCGGTGTGCTTTGGCACCGGCGAGCGCAACGTGAAGGGTTTATTGCGCCGATCCGAGTCCACTGAGCTCGTGAAGGCGATGCAGCGCGGGGAACTTCGACCGGGGGATGTTCAGTCACTCATTGAGGAGGGACGGGCGAGGAAGGGATTGGACAGCGGAACCTTTGACGCCGCTCCCGCCAAACCGGCTCCCACGTCGCCGGCGCAGCGCGAGTTCTTGTAACCGCGCGCAACTCGCCCACGTGACCTGCATTAGTGACGCTCGCCATAATTTACCTAGGTTCTAGTAATCACAACAGCTAGAATGGATCATCTAAACGACGCTGGATCGTCGACCCGACGCTGTAACTCGTCCACAAAAAGTCTCTGCACGCTTTGTCGCGTCGTCTTGAGAGACTTTGACGCAAGCTGTAGGAAGTCGCGCTTTCTTCGGCGAAGTTCAGCGAGCGTGAGCACTCTGGGTGATCGCAACGTCGGAACACCCTCGCCAAACGTGTACGAGGAGCAACAGCACCCTCCGTTGAGCTCTTGCGCCGACAAAATGGCGTCGATGATGTCCTGCGTCGCTCGATCCATCTCGTATCTCCAATTTGTGTCGCTCAGCGGCGCATTCTGCGTCGCTTTGTTTGGCACGAGCGCTCGTGCACTAGGCGTCGTTCTGGTGGCGTCTCCTCGCACGTGTGCGCAGATCGCATCGAACAAATCCTCGCGATGCACCCCGGTGTCTGTCGCCGGTCGGAACGTGAACAGCGGTGAGTCCCATCGATTTCCCGCGATGGGATGCTCGAACCTGTAGCACAGATCGCGCAAAATTTCTTCCGAGTACGAATCCTTCATATCATCGTCGCGACGCGCTCGATTGAGCTCCGTACAGCGCTCGTCGCTCGACTCGACGTACACGACGCAGTACCGCGCCGCGACCGCGCGCGCCGCGCACCACAGCTCGTACCGAAACCCCTTAATGGCGTTCATCGAATCCAAAATCACGCACGGTCCCGAGGTATGAAGCACCCTGTCCACCTCGCTCCTGAGCGCTCCTCTGATCATCTTTTCCGTCGTCGCGTTCTCGTACGCCTCGTCTCGCGTCCGCGCGTTTACGCCCGCCTCGTCCGCGACCACCACCTCCGTCTCCACCTCGCGCTCGAGCCGCTCCGCGAGCTCTCTCACCGTCTTCGTCTTCCCGCTCGACGGTTTCCCGCACATCACGATCAAGCACGCGCGCATCGGTCGTCGTCGTCGTCCCGAGGCGTCGTTCGTCGTCGTCGTCTCGGCGGCGCGCGCGCGCTCCGTCGTCCTCGCCGTCGCCGTCGCCGTCGTTCGTTCGCCCGCGTCGACGGTGGACGCCATCGCTCGAGCGCGTCGTCGCACGCGACGATCGCGCGGTGCGGTGCGGTCGAGCGCGTCGAGCGATGCGGCGGCGTCGCGCGGGCGAACGAACGACGGCGACCGTGGCGACCGCATTACGTCTCGTTCGCGCTCGCGCGATGACGCTCAAGCGCGGGCGCGAGCCGGCGAATGAGGGTGAGGGTGACGGTGACGGTGACGACGCGCGCGCGCGCGCGAGCGGAACGAGGGACGCGGAGGAGCACAGAGGCGTGCGAGTGCGAGCGGAGGATGACGTTCCGACGACCAAGGATGGGGTCGATTTCGAGCGAGACGTCGCGAAAGACGAGGCGGCGAACGCGGTGGCGAGACACTATAGCTCGCGATCGAACCAGTCGCACGGAGAGCGGCGGAAGAGCGTGATATATCGCTTGCGATGCTTGAATAACTGGATCAAGTCGACGCAGCTTTCGAGTCGGGTGCGTGAGAACGACCGCGTGATGGACCTCGCGTGCGGTAAGGGTGGAGACCTGAAGAAGTACGCGAGAGCGAAGGTTGGATTCTATGTTGGTGTGGATATCGCGCTGGAGAGCGTCCGTCGCGACGCGGTGAAGAGATACAACGGCGAACACGCGAACGAGTTCCCCGCCGTGTTCATCGCCGGTGACGCCTTCGTGGTCGATTTGGCTGAGGTTCTACCGGAACACCAGCGCACTTTAGACGTGATTTCATGTCAGTTTGCGATTCACTACTCACTCTCGACCGAGCAACGAGCGAGGCGAGCGCTCCGGAACGTATGTAAGATGCTTCGACCCGGCGGGTACTTTATAGGCACCACGGTGGACTCAAACGTCCTCGTGCGAAAGCTTCGCGAAGCGGACGGCCTGGCGTTTTGGAATCCGGTGTACGAGGTGGAGTTCGATGACACGTTCAAGGATAAGACGTTTCCCGCGTCCAAGACGGGTGGATTCGGAATAGAGTACACCTTCACACTTGCGGACGCCGTTACAAAGTGTCGAGAGTGCATGGTCCCGAAAGACGTGTGGGTCTCACTCGCGGCTGAGTACGGGTTGGAACTCGTCGAGTGGCAAAACTTCCACGATTACGTACATTCGCAGCTTCACGGGAAAGAAACGAGGGAGCGCGCGGGAGGATTGTGGTCGCAGGTAATGGGAGACGAGGGAGAAAACACCCTTACGGATGAGGAGTGGGAAGCCGCGTACCTGTACTGCACGTTTGTGTTTCGCATGAGCGGCTCTCCCGAGAGCGCGGCCTCGGCGGTGTTTAACAGGAAGCCCGTGCCAGAGAAGCGAAAAATCGAACAGAGCGACGTCTTAGTGTTAGAGGGCGCGGCTTGATGTATCACAAACTTCCTCGATTCTCGAGCTCTCAATTCGCGCGCGAGGAGCCAAATGTCACCCTCGGCGGGCGTAAAAAAAGTGTCGAACGAGATCATCACATCGACACGTCACTCTTCACCGCCCGCGTGTAGAAACTCCCCGGACGCGCGTTCGTGACGTCTGATGGCTCTTCGCACGCAATTCACGACCAAGTTCGCCGCTCTCACCGCCGCACGCACCCGCTCCGTCGCTCGCTCCACGACGATCAGACCGATGGCTCAAGTCACAATCAGTGCGTGATGATCGTCTCGACGATGGTCTCTTCGACGATGGTCTCTTCGACGATGGAGACGCGAGAGACTGACCGCGCGCGCGCGTTTTCCCTACAATCGCAGCCGAAGGCGTTACTTTCGACACCGTCGCTCGCGAGTGGCGATGCAAGTGGAGCGCCGACGACGACAAGGCGTCCCTCGCCGCGGCGCAAAAAGTGCTCGAAAAGCACTTGCCGGCGATGAAGGCCAAGGGTAAGGTCCAACGCACCGTGTGCGGCGGCTGCCTCGACTTCAAGGTTTCCACCGCGTTACCTGCGGGCGATTTTGGCGCGTGGGAAGAAGCCGGGTTCGCCCCGGAAACCGATTTCCTCGCCGAGCTCGAGGCGATCCCGGGCATCTCCAACGTCGAGACTCAAACGTTCACCCTCATGCCCATGTAAAGAGGGGGACTCGTACGAACGCGTCGTTCGCCATCTTAGGTTGTAACCAAGCGACCAGAACGTCCACTGCACGGTTGCTTCGACTCAGGACTGGAATGACTAAGAAACAGTTGCCCCCGAGTGGACTCCCCACCGGCCTTCCCGTCGCCTCAGTAGTATGCTCGCGCGCGTTCCGTCCACGCGTCACGTCGTGAGCGCGCTCGCTAACGTTTCGGGACGCACTCGATCGCATTCTCGCTCTCACCGCGCGCTCGGTTTCGCGTTCCTCAACGTCTCAGGAAGCGCTCGATCGTCTTCTCGCGCGTCCACCCGTCGAACCATGAGCGCGGCGCCGCACGACGAGGTGCTCGCCGCGCAGGAGGCGCACCTGAAGGGGCTCGCCGACTCCGAGGAGCGCACCATCTTTGATAAGATTGTCTCCAAGGAGATCCCGGCGACCGTCATCTACGAGGATTCTCTCGCGTTGGCGTTTCGGGACATCAACCCGCAGGCGAAGACGCACTTCTTGGTGATCCCGAAGATTCGCGCGGGCTTGACCAGGCTCTCAAAATCGACGGAGGACCACAAGGCTCTATTGGGACACCTGATGTACACCGCCGCGCTGGTGGCAAAACAGGAAAAGCTTGACGCCGGGTATCGCGTAGTCGTCAACGACGGCGTCGAAGGTTGCCAAAGCGTCTACCATCTTCACCTTCACGTCCTTGGCGGTCAGCAACTCTCGTGGCCTCCGGGTTGTTAATAGGAGTGTAGTGATCGAAGATCAATAAGCGAACACGCGGACCACGATTTTAACCTATGTATTTTCGTTTTGACAAACTATCTATTCCTTCTTTTTCCCAAAGGAAAATTTGAGCTTCGGGAGAGGCTTGGGCGGCTCCGTTGGCTCCGCCTTGACCTCGACCGCGGCTTCGTCGGCCGCAGGCGCGGCGGCGCCGGGACGTTCGATTCGCAACGAATCGGCAGAAAAGTCTGATGTGTTCGCCTTGATGTCGCTTTCGTGCTTGCTCGCGAGGTCAGCGATGAAGTTGACCATATCCGCCGCCATACCTGGGACCCAGTCGAGGCGAAGCTCCACGGGCTCTTCCGCCATGTGATATGCCTTGGCGTTCGTGGCGATTAATCTTACATCCGCCACCCAATCATGCGGGCTGTCGTACAAGCCCTCGCGAAGGCGTGACATGATGGAACTCAAATCCATCGGTTGATCGACGAACTTGGAGTAGTCGCCCAACGTCACAGGCGGGGAGAACACTTGACCGTAAGTACCGTGTTTCATCGCACTCTCTGTGATTCTTATCAGTGCCCTGTCCCACGGAAGCTTTCTTCCAAGCGTTGATTTCTTCTCCGGAGTCGCACCTGCATCGCTGAAGACTCTCTTCATCGTTTTCTTACTCACACCAACCTTGATCTTCAATCCGCCCGGAACCGGGGGGATGGTGGTAGTCGGCTTCAGCGTGATTCCTGGAGACTTTTCTGCATCCGCCAGATTTGCACCCTCATCCGTCACACCCATAGATTGCAGACGTTTGATCTTCTCACCCGCTCTTCGCACGCGCTCCTTGGCGCGTTTGCGCTGTCGAAGCATCTCGTAACGCGCCCTGGCCTCAGGCGTCAGACCAGTTTCTTCGTCGTCGAGTTCCTTCTTCTCTAACGCTTCCTTTGGCGGGGGCGGAGCCTTATCCTTTCCACATTCTAATAATGCCGCCGTCGTCGCGGCGTTTGCCGCTTCCACACCCTGTGCACGCGCCGAGAGCCAAGCTGCACCCGCATACTCTGTGATGTCGTCTTCAACCTTGGCAGAACGTCCATCAGGGAAGATGTGCGTTGTAACGCGCTTCAACCTAAACTTTTTACCCGGAACGACAATACCTTGGGCCAAAGCCTTCATCGGATCCACTGAGGGCTCAATCGGTGCACCATCCCGCAAAGCAGAACGTAAAGCTTCGAGTTCCTTTTGCTCATCCTCCTCGGTCGGGCCCGCATCCTGGTTCTTCTCCGCAAGCTGCTTCTCCAACTCATCCGCCAAAGAGTCGCTTTCACTGTCGCTTTCACTCGATGATTCGTCTTCATCATCAGACTCACCTCCACTAGATGACTCTTCGTGCCGTGTTCGGCGCTGAGCGTACTGTTTCATCTGTCTCTTGAAGAGCAAGTTGGAATGTTCTCGAATCTCTGTGAGCTGCTGAGCTTCACTCACGCGAAGGCGACGAGCAAAGCGCGCCATGCCTGCATGCTGATTGTTGCCGTCAGCGGTCGCCGCGCCCGAAAGCTCACGAATCAAACCAATACGCTTCCATCGCTCGAGTTGAAGAATAACTTCCTTCTCGACGCCAAAGTTCTCAAGGATACGTTGCGCCTGAGGCATCGTGAGCTTACGAAGATCCGCGTTTGTACCAGTCACCGTACCCGGTTCGCGGCGCGGCCGACGGTCTTCGGGTGGATCTGGCACAGTCATGCGACGAATATAGTTGTAGAACTTGCCCGTGAGTCGCTGAATTCTTCTCGAAGTTTCGAGGTGCAAAATCCCTCTGTTACCCTCTAGTGCCTTGAGAAACTCGGACGTTTGCGCCCACGGTTGGATCTGCAACCACAATTCCAGATGCTCGAGCTGGCGCTTTCGCTTCCCCTCACTGTGACGAACTAAAATCGTCACCGCATTCTTCAATTGTTGTAACGTGAGCGTTGAAAGTCTCAGAATGCGTTCTTGCTCTTCGCGAGTACGCTCCTTGCAGAGAACGGCTACGGAGTGGCGATACGACTCGTACGCGCAGATCTCCTCTGGCGACGCCATCCTCTGCACCTCTTTTTCGTGTTGAAATCGGTACGACGGATTCAAGATGAATTCATCGTCGTTAGCGTTCGCACCTCGTCTGGGAGCACATATTTTTGACCGAATCTTCTTTCGTACCTCACGTACAGACATCACATGAGAGAGCGTTGCGGCAATGTCACTTGATTTCACCATCGGCATTGTACCGGGTTCAATCGCACCCTTTGCTTGTAGCGTCAGGAAATATCGAAGTACGGTGGCGTTGACAAGGCGTTCTTCAAAGTCTTTGAGAACGTCGCTGCCGGGAGCTGGAATGTTCATGTGTGGCTCTTGCTGTCCAGCGAGGAACAAAGGTGGTGCTTCGCGCATAGTCAGCTTGCCATTCGGCGCTCGAATGAGCAGAAAGTCAACCATCTCGTCGGATTTCGGTTGCTGAAACATCGGTGCCCTGAACATGTTTGTTTCTAGAGATGTGATACCCTTGCCCTGGGGCAGCTCAGCGAGGAAGGGTGACGGGGCGTTCGGTTTGAGATCGACGACAGTCGTCGTGGCGTTTGCGTATGGCCGAGCGCCTTGATCGCCGAGTGTCTTCCTTCGATAGTACACCACCTTCTTTGCGCCCATACCCGGCTTCGAAATGAATAACGGTCGCGCTTCCGTGTACTGCACCATCATCAGCGTGCCAGTTCGAGCGGACAAATCGGACGGTTTCTTGTATGCTCCGGGTGGAGCGAGCACCGCGTCAGATGCGAGAGGCGCAAGCGCCTCCTGTTCACTGATGAATGTGATCTTCGGCGCGACGAGATAAATGATCGGAAGACCGACCTGAGCTTTCAAACCAGCTTGAGTGAGCGTCATGTCTTCATTTAACTTCTCGCTCGGATCCGGACTGCCCGGATAGTAAAGGTTGATGGGCCCGTCTAAATCGGTCCAGCGCTTGCGGATGCGAGGAATAACACTACCGACCGTGTCGGTACCGCGAACCTTGAGATTGATCACTGCGCTGTGCAAGTTGAGCGACTTAATGCATACCTTGAACGTGTCCGTCTCCGCACCCGCGAGCTTGATTTTCATCCCGGATGATGCGCTCTTCGGCAGCGTCGTGGGCGGATGCAAAATTGGCTTTGGAGCTGGGAAATCGTTGATTGGATCTCGAACGAGCTGAGGGACTGAATTGAGAAGAAATTCTGCGTGCTCGATGCCTTCGAATCTACCAGGTCTCGGGGGACGTTCCTTTTCATCGACCGTCGTCTCGACTTCTTCCTTGTACTTGTCGTCCATGCTAATATTCAGCGCGGCGTCGACGTCGTCCACGGGGTCGAGATCCCAGCTTGGAACCATCTTTGCGTTGGCCCACTTCCACACCGTTGCCTCTAAGTCGCCCTTGAATTGGAACACCAACTGAGGGTCGTTCGGATTCGCCATCACCTTTGGCATGTCATACTTGCGATGATCGCTTGTGCGCTGAGGTTTGCCCTCCCACTCGACGTCATCCAGCCAGTACCCGTTTGCTAAATCGTGATTCCTCATTCGGAGCATCGCGCCCGCACCGCGCGGGGCATCCGCATCGATCATTTCTGCGTCGATTTTACCAGGTTCTTCCTCGGCGACGCCGTAAAGCGTGAGGTGTCGCATATAATCGGCGACATCTGACGAGCCATCTCTCGAGGACTCTCCGGCGAGCGCGCCGAACGCGCCAGTCGATGTCACCTGCGGTGGTAACGCCGTTGGATCGTCCGTCTCTTCGTCGCGTCGCAGCTTTTTGAACGCTCCGATGGCGTCGATGCCCACCGTCGCGAGACGAATCGCCTCTTCCTCATCCGAATCACCGCCGCCTAAAATCACCGCGCGCTCCCACTCGTTGTGTTCTATTCCGCTTTCACCCCGCTTCGGCTTCATTCGCACCTCTGCGTCGCCGTAGTCCACCTCTAGTCTCATATCATCGCAATCGGCGTCGTCTTCGTTCTCGTTGTCGCTAAGCGTCGGTTTCAGCGCCGCGTAACGCTCGCGAGGCGCGCTCGAATCCACCTTAGCAAACCACGTCGCGTCGTCCTCTTCGAGCTCGTCGTCGTCGTCGTCCTCTTCGTCGTCCACCTCCTCGTCAAGCATACCTTCTTCTTCATCCTCCTCTTCGTCCTCGGCGATGCGTCCACCCTTGGTCGGCGTTTTCAAATCATCCGCGCTCGTCGAAGGTTTCGTGCGCGCGTCTCCAAACGCCGCCGAGTACGTCCGCCCCCCCCTCGTGTCGTGCAGCAGCGACGTGAACTTCAAGATCTCCCCGCTCTCAGGCGGTGCGCTCATCCCTCCGTCTGCGCGCTGGAGATGCATCTTCATCGCCTCATCCGCGGCGACGGAGGCTACGCGCACGCTCCGATCGCCTCTCGCCGCGCCTCCGCCCCCGTCGCCGCCCGGAACGACCACGACCACGCCCTGCGCTTCGCTCGCGCCCCCTTTCGACGATTTACTCTGCTTCACCCGCTTCTTCGTCGCCCCCGTGGTCTCATCGATCGCGTCGTCGTCGTAATCGTCGTCCTCGTCCAGAGATTCATCGCTCGAGGACTCGTTTCCAACCTCGTCGTCGCTCGCGTCGTAATCGCTTTCGCTCTCTCGATCGCGCGCGCCCGCGTCCGCGTCCACGCGCGCGCCGTCGTCCGCATCGTCGTAATCGTCGTCATCCATCGCCCCCGTGAACGCGCTCGAGGTCGAGCTCGGCGCGAGCGGTCGTCGAGCGATCGTCGCGCGGGGCGACGGCGAATGCCGCGAACGTCGACGATCGGGTCGGAGTGCGCGACGCGTCCACCGCGCGCGCGTTCGACCGCGCGATCGAGCGTGGGAAAAATTCTACCAACGCGCGCGCGCGTTCGCCATGTCGCGCGCGTCCGCGTCGCTCGCGCGCGCCCGTGATTCGTTCGACGCGCGCGGGCATCGCGACGTCCGTCGTCGTCTTCGCGCGCGCGCGTCGCGCGAGAGCGACGACGCGGCGGCGCGGACGTCGGTGCGCGTGAACATCGAGAAACCGATGGGGATGACGCTCGAGCCGGGATCGATGGAGCGCGGGACGTTCGTCGCGGGCGTGGGCGCTGGGTCGAACGCGGACGCGGCGGGCGTGAAGGCGGGGGACGTGTTCGTGCGAGTGCACGGGAAGGACGCGCGAGGGATGGCGTTCGATGATTTATTGGATGCGATCGGGAGCGTCGAGGGGGCGGTGGAGGTGGAGCTCGCGCGATTCCCTGGTGGACGCGAACAGACGACTCCGCGCGACCGGGCGTGGTTGGAGGCGAACTCGACGCGCGAGGACGTCGTGACGCTCCCATCCGGTTTGCAGTACCGTGTGATCGAGAGTGGGACTGGACGAGCGGGAATTAAGATGGAGACCGCGTGCGAGTGTCACTACGCCGGGACGTTGATTGACGGCACCGAGTTCGATTCGAGTTATCGAAGAGGCAAACCTCTGACGTTTGCGCCGAGGCAAGTCATAAAGGCGTGGCAGGAGGCTATGCGACGGATGCGCGAGGGAGACAAGTGGGAGATATTTTGCCCGTCCGAGCTCGCGTACGGTGCTCGAGGTTCGGGGCGCTTCATCAAGCCGGGCGACGCGCTCGTGTTCACGATGTCGATCGAGCGCGTGCTCGGTTAAATATCGCTCGTTGCTTGCAGTACCGCTACGTAGTTTATTCATTCGTCACACCACCGCTACCTAAACCGCGAGGCCTACGTCGAGATCGTACCTAGCCTCAGAGTCGCGAAGAGGTTCAGACAAAAACTTCCCTGAGCGAACGGCCGAAGTGAAAGGTCCCCATGGAACGCGAGTGTCGTCTGCGTCCATGTCGATGCGGACTCTGAACCGTAACTCGATCGAACAGCGCGCCGAGTGAAACGGCTCTCGCCCTTTTGGATCAACATCCGTCAATACTTTTCTGAAAGGTTTGTCCTCCTGCCACTTCGCTGCACCGTGCCAACAATCGAACGAGTCGAACAGTAACGCTCCGTTGGTTACGAATTCGTGGTCGTCCTGCGCCAGGACTTCAGGGAATTCGAAGGATCTCTCGGCGTCCGTCATACCGTCCTCTCCTCTTACTCCTACTTCTACTACGTCCTCCTCGGTGGGTTTCTTCTTGTATGCTCCACGCGTCAAACGGTTGCCCCCGATGATCCACGTTTTGGGATCGAAGATGTTCAACTTGTCGCTAAAGTTATTTTCATCCTTCGCGGCATCAGGCGTCATCTCTAATTTTCTCTTCACGAATTTCCACTCTGTCTGCCCCGAGTCTTTGGGCAACATCACAACTAAAGGACTCTGCCACGGATTACCCGTCGGGTCCAGAGCGCTCGTGGTGAGATGCACGTTAATGAATCGATACTGATACCGACCGCGATCCGGCATCGACAAATCCGGCCAACCATCGCGCGGCCTTTGAGTCGTCGACGGGTTCGTCCATGAATCCGGATCTCGATGTAATCGCGTCGCGAAGTGTATCTTGGACGCGATGATGTGCTTCTCCGGTCGTCTTATCACCCAATCGATTGCCCTCGATTCGTTACCCTCGCCCAACCAGCCAGTTCCCGGGAGGACCTCCGCCGACGCGCCAAACTGCGGGAACTGTTCGCGGATCAAAGCCTCGGCTCGAGCGAAAATCTCCGGCCATCCAGATGCGTGTCCGCATCCCAAGCTCTCGTGTGACGTCCAACCGGATTGAATCGTCTCTCTCAGCGCTCGCAACGCCTCGCTCGTGTCCTCGTGCGGGAGCGCGATGAAATCTCTCGCTCGTCGCGCTTCAACCGCTCTCCTCGCCTCGTCTCCCACGTACACCGTCTTCTCTCGCTCGTCGTTCCAGTACGGAATCATCGCTCGTCGCTCACCAATCTCTGGGAGCTTCACCGCGCGCGCGCGCGCGCTGACGTCGTACTTATTCGACATCGCGCGCGGGATCGTGGACGATTGGTTGGAATCGTGCTGACTCGGCAGTCCTGCGCCACTCGCGCGCCGTCGTCGGCCTCGCGTCGACGTCGATCGTTCGCTCGGGCGTCGATCGAGGGACGGGACCGAGCGCGAGGCGGCGACGGGCATGGTGAAGCGACCCGAATCCGACGACGGACGAGTTGTGAAGGGGTGAAAGGTGAAAGATGAGATATTTTTTTAACTAACCGAGCAAAGCGGAGGGCACGCGGGGACGATCGGGCCAGATCGGTTCATCGGTTGACGCCGGTGAGCCACCGCCCCAAGGCCACCACGCGACGACGTATCGCGTCCCTGTCTGTGCCGGCGGCGGGGCTGGTGGAGGCGCAGGCGTGGGAATGGGGCCCGCGTCGACGATTCGGCATTCCTCGTACGCGTACGTCCCAAATCCTGGTCGGCATTTGTACTGCGTCGCGGAAAACATGACGTCCGCCGCGGATTTCGTCGCTTGCACCACGTCGCTCAGCTCACAGAAACATAATGCGGTGTTCATGAGTGCGATTTGCTCGCAGCAGCGCCTCGCTCGATTGCTCGTTGCGTCGAGAAACGGCAAACGAGCGCAACCGTCATCGAGAATGTTTGCGTACGCCGAAACTCGACACAGTTCTTGCGACAGCTGTCTCGTGAGTTCTTCCCGATCAACCACGCCGAACGTTCTTCCTACGAATGGCGGTAACGGAGCTCGAATGATCGGTGGCGTCACCACCGATGGCGGCGGTGGGGGAGGAGGCGGAGGCGGAGACTTGGCGACGAATGGCAAGCATTGCCAACCGCCGACAATCGTCGTTCCGCACACTGATTCCGACGCGGAGAACATTGCTAAAAAGTTGCTAGGAAATTCTCTCAGGAGTTCCTGCACCATTTTACCTTCGGAACAAAAGCACTTTTCTGCGTTCAACGACGTGAGGGCCTCGCAGCACGACGCTCTCACTCGCGTCGCGAGAGGGGAATTTGTGTTGTCGCCGATCGAAGCGCATCCCCCTTGGATTAATCGCACGAGACCATCGACCGAGCAAGTGGCTCGGATCGGCGCCGGTACGATTGACGGAGAGATTATCGCCGACGGTGCCGGTGGAGACGCCGCCGAGGGTGGCGAAAGAGTGAACGGCGGCAGCGCGGCACAATTATTGCCAAATTTCAACTTCAGATCGCACGCTTGCTCCGCCTGTAGGACCAATGGTAATACTTCGCGCCGAATTCCGAGTTCTACTTGGCCCAGATTGACGTTACAGAAGCAGTCGTTTTCATCCAGCGCTCTCAAGCTCGCACAACAAGTGTCTTGGTTGAAGTTTTCCGAGGCTGTACACACTTCCACGAGCGAGCGCAGTCTTTCGCCGGCGCACTCTGACACGAACGTATCGTCCGCTTGCGCGCTCACTCCACGTACCGCGAGTCCTGTGACGACGCCAACGATGATCACGCGCATCACGCTCTGTCGTTCTCTGACGTGAAATTTCTCTGACGTGAACGACACCTCGCCGTCGCCGAGTAAACCTCGGAAACACGAGGCGACGTCGCCTATTACAACGCGCTCACCCGAGACTCCATTTGTTCCAACCTCTCCCTGAGCTTGATCATACTCTTCGCCATCTCTCGTGCCTTGATCTCGTACTCCGGAAGTCGATCTAAAGTCTCCACCGCACCGTCGATGGCGTCCACCCACCTCGCGCTTTGCTCAGCCTCGGCGATCTTCTCCATCGTCGCGTCTTGGCTCGCTCGCAGCTCTTTTAACAGTTCGCACACCGAACGCTTCTTCTCCAGCACGTCCCTGTCGTACACCGCCGCCGCAGCGTCCGCCCAATTCGGGTCCAGTCGCATCCGTTGCACCTCGGGATCGTCGTCGTCTAAACACGTCGACAAATCCAATCGGTCGTAATCCTTTGTTGGCTTCTTCCCAGTCGCGTCGCTTTTCTGCTCGGACGACGACGCCGCGGCGTCGCTTGGGCGCTGCGAGCGATCGCTCGCACTCATGGGAGACGCACGTCGCGCGCGCTTCGCGTGCGCGCTCGGACGACGGGGCGTCGACGTGTGCGGACGCGACGTCGCCGCGACGGCGGTTCCGCGGACGCGGCGGGCGACGCGATTGAATGGATTCGATGATTATACACGATTACGCGGCGTCGTACGCGTCTACACGTCGGGATAATACCCGCTCTGCCCCCCCTTATGGCCACCGCCCGCGCTCGGTCCCGGCTCGGCGTACCCTTGCGTGACGACCACCGTCGGCGCCGGGTGTCCGCGCGCGACTGGGCCGGGCGCGATCGGAACGAAGCGCGTGCGCGTATCGCACTGCGTCGTCGTCCGCGCATCTGTCGTCAGTCACCGCTCGCATCGCACATTTCAATCCCTCGCGCGTCGCCCGTTCGAGCGCGATCGCGTCGCGCGTCGTCGAGTCGTCGCGCGTACCGGACACGCGAACACGAGCGGGCACAGGAGCGGTCCCAACAAGATGCATCCCAGAACGATGGAGATGGGTCCGACGTAATTCTCCGTCACGTACGCCCCGTCGACGTACCCTCCCGCGTGCGCGCCGTCGACGTACATGACCTGCGCACCCGGGGCGGCGACGTGCGCGCCGTGCGCGTACACGGGCTGAGACATGTGTGCGCACGCGTGGAGACTTTACGTCGCTCGAGCGAGATGATTGCCGCGCGCGCGCGTCGCGGAGACCACGGTGGGCGTCGTGCGACGAGAGATGACGGCACCGCGCGTCGTTCGCGTCGCCGCGTCGATCGGTGGCGGGCGCCGAGAGCGGTGCGAGTGAGACTCGTTTTCAATCGACGCGTTTTTTTCTGTTCTTCTAGCCAGGGACGCGGGAGACGGACGGAGCCGAGACGGAGCCGGAGCCGAAGACGCGCGCGTTCGTCAGCGAATGATGTACATCGAGTTACAAATACGAAATCTTATTCTGCACACTAAAGCGCGAGCGCGGCGGCGAACTCCACCGCGCGTGGACCGGCGACGGAGAGCACGAGAGGGAGCTGAAGCGCGAACCATCCGAGCGCCGCGGCGACGAAAGTCTCGAAACCGCGATGGAAAAATCTCGCGGTGACGAAGACCTCGACCGAGGTGAAGACCATGCACGCCAGACCAAAAAGAGCGACGCACATGATGGCCGTACGGCGAAGCGGTTTCTCTCGACGCTCGACGAGTAGAAGAAAGTCCACCGCGCAGCAGAGGACCTCGCCGTGAATCGCGGTGAAGACTGACGCGCCGAGAAAAACGTGATCACTCATGAACGCCGAGGGCCACAGGGCGTTAAAGGTGCGATATCCCGCCAGTCTCAGGAGCGCGACGAATACGTACGCCCGTATATCGCTCCCTATGCGCGCGCACGTGCCCAGCGGCACCCGACCTCGACGCTCGCGGTCGTATCCTTCTATGCAGCTCGCGGAGAACCAACGAGCAAAAGTCAGCATCAGCGGTACCGCCGGTCCGAACGGTGAAACAAATATATCGTCGATCCATTTCGTCTTCTCCACCCACTGCTCGCGCGTCTTGGAGTTCGCACCCGGCATGAGAGTCCCGAGAGCGAGCGCGCCGAACCACAAAGCGTACGGCCCGTACGTCAACCGCCTCTCACCGGGTGAGTGTTTCACGCCTCCTGCATTTCCATCCTCGAAGCGCTCGCGCACGGACACCCTCGGCGACGATCTCGGCGAGATCTTTGGCGAACTGTGCGACGAGATCGACGTCGCGCTCAACGTTCGCTCCAGCGCCGTCGCCGTCGCCGAGCCCGAACCGTCTCGCCGCGACGCGCCCGCGTCACCCCCCCGCACGTCCGAGCGCGAACCCACGTGTTTTCGCCGCATCGTCGCCGTCGCCGTCGCCGTCGTCGTCGCCGTCGCCGTCGCCGTCGTCGCCGTCGTCCCGCGATCCGTCTCGTCCTCGACGCGCCCGCTCGGCGTCGTCGTCGTCGCCGCCTCTCGTCCGCGCCCCCCCATCGTAGCCTCGCCCGCGTCCACGCCGCGCGCCCCCATCACCACCGCGGCCGCCATCCGTCGCCGTCGTTCGCGTCCGTCGTCGTCCCGCGCGCGCGTCGATCGTCCCGTCCACGCGATCGCGCGTCGATCACCGATCGCGCGTCGTCGCCGAGTCACGCGCGCGCGCGCGCGCGATCTCCCGACCGCCCCCGTCCGTCGCGCGCGCCCGTGGTCGCGCGCGCGTCGATCGCGCGCGCGTCGCGCGGTCGTGTGTGGCGACAGATGGATCGTCGATCGACGATCGACGCCCCATTCCATCGCGCGCGACGTCGTCGTCGGTCGATGGGCGCGATCGCGCAGCCGCCGACGCGTGGGGCGTACGCGCTCGGCTCGAGCGGTGGCGCCCGCGCGAGCGCGTCGGCGGCGGCGACGACGTCGTGCGCGCGGGCGTTGGTGGAATCGTTGGAGCGCGACGTCGGGGATCGATCGAGACGGTGGGTCGGTGGCGCGGAGGGAGGGACGGCGGCGCCGGAGGTGCGCGTCCGATCGCACGCGTACGCGCGGCGACGGCTCGGGGGGGCGGAGGGGGCGCGAGGGGTGATCGAGACGCCGGGTCTCGATCGACGCGCGAGACGCGAGAGCGACGAGGAAGACGAAGAGGAAGACGACGAGCAAAGGGAAGAGAGCCAGGGCGCGTACGTGAGCCGAGGTTCAGAAGAAAGATTCGACGCGGTCGAGGGTGAGGGGTCGGAGGAGGTGGACGAGGGAGGGTACGCGACGCCCATACGCGAGGAGGCGAGCGAGTAAACGGTTGTTTCGGCGAGCGCGAAGGACGCGATGTCATCGCAGGAAGACGCCGCCGCGGAAAGAGCGGAAAGAACCGTGATGGACGCGTTACACGCCGATGAGGACACTCTGGCGAGGCGTCGCGCGCGACGACGGCGTAGATCCAGTGAAGCGGACGAGGCGACGGCGACGCTTGATTTGGGCGCGCCGATGACGCTTCGCGCGCGCGACTTGGACAGGTTCGAGCGCACATCCTCGGGTGCGACGACATCGAACGAGTGTCACGCGAAATCACGACGGATAGCTCCTTCGACGAGCGGTCGATCGCCGAGTGAGATGAACACGTTAGACTTGGAGAGAAACGCGGCGACGTTTGCGAACGCTTTCGGCGTCGACGCCGCCGCGGTGGTTTCTCCTGGAAACGCCGGTGTTGATCCTTACCGCGCCATCGTGAGATGCGCTGAAAAGTTTTGCATCGATCGCGACGGCGCTGAGCACTCGATCGAGGATGTCGAGCGCGCGGGCGAGGAAGAGGACGAGGCCGCCGACGACTCGCGCGCCGTGGCGCTCACATCGGCGTCTTTGATGGAAGGAGTCCGGGCTTTTTTCGTCAACTTCACTAAAAAGCGCGCTGAAGCGTTGGGAAACGCACTCATTCGCATGGGCGGATCCGTCTGTGAACGCGCGGACGATTCGGTGACGCACGTCGTGGCGTGTGAGGAAAGCTCTGCTTTGACAAAAGCGTTAGAATCTATCGACCGCGAAGACGTCGTGAAAATCACGCCGGAGTGGATCACCGAGAGCTATAAGCAACGTCGACCACTACCCGTCTCGGCGACGAATTTCGAACCGCGCACGCGCGTCGCCGTGATCGCCGACCGGCCGCATTCGCAAGAGGCGGCAACATCGAGTGGAGACAGCAAGGCTCTCGCGGTTCGCGTGCGAAAAGAACGGGAAAACGCGTTAGCCATACGGCGCTCGAGTGGGTTCGGAACTATCTGGACGAGCGATTTGGCTGACAACGAAAAGCTGGAGAAGAGTCGGTCGAAATTCTCGTGTCAACCGGGAGAACACAATGAAAAAGCAATGCCGATAGAATGCAACACGAAAGTTGCCGACCTACTCAAGGGAATGGCGGACATCTACGAAGATGCGCTGCGCGATCAATATCGAGCAAAGCAGTACGCTGCTGCAGCGAGCGCGTTGAGATCGCTTAACTTCGAGATAACCTCCATCAATGATTGCGACGTCGTTCCAATGCTCAAGAAGAAGGATGGGAAGATTAGAAAATATGTCGGAGAGATTTTAAACACGGGCAAATTGAAGGCGCTGGAAGAATTGCGCGCGAGACCGGATGTTAAGGCATGTCTAGAGCTCTGTGGGATTCACGGTGTTGGCCCAGTTACCGCGCGAAGCCTTTTCGCCAAGGGCTATGCAACTGTCGCAGATTTGCGCGCGCGCGCTCCAGAAAATTTGTTGACCCCGGCGCAAAAGATTGGTTTGAAGTATTACGAAGAGTTCAAGGAGCGAATCCCACGGGAAGAGGTTGGATTCATCGCCACCGCCGTCCGTGAAGCCGCAAATACGTTCCAGAAGGACGAAGTTCACTGTTACTGCGTGGGATCTTTCCGAAGAGGAAAGGAGACATCCGGTGACATTGACGTTTTGGTCGAGTGCAGAGATTACTCTCTTGCGAACGAACTCTTGATGCACATCCTGAGTGATTTAAGGCCGGGAGGCACGAGTCCACGAAGTGGTATCCTCACCGACGATCTGCTTGTCGGTGATCACACCTACATGGGCGTCGCCGCTCTGCTCAAACCTCTCAAGGATGATGACGATAAACCGCCGATACATAGGAGAGTCGACATCAAGGTGTACGATTCCGAGTCTCTTCCCACAGCGCTGCTGTATTTCACTGGAAGCGATAAGTTCAATCGATCGATGCGGCTCTGGGCGAAGAAAAAGGGATTCAACTTGCAGGACAAGGGGCTCTTTGCGGACCGCTCGCAGGCGCAGGCATCACGCGTACGAGCAAAGGGCGAAGAGGATGTTTTCGACGCTCTCGGTCTAGATTACGTTCCGCCGGAGAAGCGAAACGTGTAATTTGACGTGAATTTTCATAACCTGCACACCGTTCGAACGCACCGCGCGTCCTCTGGTCTCGTTGCATTTCATCTTTGCCGACGCGCGTGCGTTTCGCCTCAGAACTCAACCCCTCTGGTGGGATGACCAGGCGGTCCGCCCTTGACGCGGCGCGCCGCGCGAGCGCGCTGAGCGCGACGACGTCGCGTACGACACCGCTCGCCCTCGTCTCGACCTCCTCGTCATCGTGGTCCTCGTCGTCGTCCAAAGAAGTGGCGACGTCGACGTCGTCTCTTCGCACTCGAACGCGCGGTCGAACGATGTTTACCGCCGCGGACGCCCCCGGAGCGATCGCGGACGCGATGTCGACCCTGCATCACGCCTCGGGACTCCCTTGGTGCGCGACGCTGGCGGTGAGCGCACTGTGTGCGCGTCTGGTCACGGCGCCGGTGGCGGCGAGGACGACCAAGGCGAGCGCCACGGTGAGCGCCGCGAGCGCCCTGGCCAAGGCGACTAAACAAGGAGACGCCGAGCGCGTGTCTATAAAGGACGTTTTAGAGGCGATGAAGGAGCTTCGCGAGCGATCGGGAGTGGGTGCGCATCCCGCGTGGCTCGTCGCTGGACCGTTGGCGCAGATTCCGTTGTTCGCGTGCGCAATGATGGCAGTGCGGCGACTCGCGTCGGAAGGCGGTTCCAACGGGTTAATAAGTGGCGGAGTTTTCTGGTTTAGCGATTTAACGCTCCCAGCGATGGACATCGCGACGATGTCGGCACCGATGGGACCGTACGGAGCGGTTCTGCCGATAGTCACAGCTGGTGCGCTGTTTGCGAATGTGAATGCGAATTTTGCGGCCGCGGCGCAGCAGTCGCGCGGGATGACGATCGTGAAGCTCTGTTTAGAGTGGATGACGCTACCCATGCTACTAATCGGCTTGCAGCTTCCGCAGGCCGTCCACTGTTACTGGATCACATCGAGCGCGTATGCGTATGCGCAAAACCGTGCCTTGTCCACGGCGTACGCGCGCGAGGCTCTCGGTTTGAACGAGTTAGCGAAGACGACGCGCGAGATCGTGCGGGAGAAGGGATTACATTCGGATGAGCGGTTAGAGATTCCGCCGGTGGTTTTGGAGCTCATAAAGGCAGCCGCAAAGGCTCGCGCAGAGAATAACAACCCGCTCGCCATCAATCTGCTCCTCCGCGCCTCTCGAGGAGGATCGGACGACGCGAACGCGCATGGGCGATCGACGGAGCCGGTGCGTGGTGATGAATTAGGTAAAGCGCATCCGACTGTCCTGTTTGCGCTAGGTCAAACGTACGCTGTGCTGAAAGACTGGAAGAAGTCAGCAATAACGTACGAGTACTCCGCGCGGAACGAACCGGACGCTCTGCGCCGCGCGAGAGCGCTTCTCGGCGCTGGAGTGGCTCGAGCGCGCCTTGGTGACCTCGGCATGGCAAGCGAGGCGCTTGGAGAAGCAAACCGATTGAATCCTTCGGATGCGAGCGTCAAAATCGCGCTCGCGAGCGCGCTCAAGTTGAATGGTGATCCAGAGGGAGCCTTGCAGATTTTACGTGAAGCCGCGACGATACAGCCAGACATTGACGAGCGGTACGTCAAGCCGCTCGAGCGTGAACTAGCGAGTAGAACAACCGCATAGCGTGATTATTCATTCATTCATTCATTCATTCATTCATCTACAAGTGGTGTTTCTGGCTAGGACGCACCGTGGATTGTGTCAAGTCGAAAGCCGTGCTCAACGCCTCGCGGCGCGAGCGCTTCTCTACTCGCCAGTTCCCCAGCCGTCATCTCATCTTTCCTAGGCTTCGCCGCGGCGGTAACGTCCGCTGCCGTCACTCTCTCAAACACGATGCTCGAACACCCGTTTCTCTCGCACGCTTTCGGCATGAGCGCATCGAACGTCGTGTTCGTTTGATTGCACCCTTTGCACTTGAAGTAACGCATGATGGATTCAATTTGCGTTACGCACGACCGGTGACCCGCACACGTTGAAGAATCGAAAAATCGCGTCTTCTTCTGACATTGTGAGCAATGATACACCTTGACATTTGTCTCACGCTTTAGCGCGAGTTGTGCCGCGAGCTGATCACGCTCCTGAAGTGCGTCCATGCGCGTCATCATCGTATCGACGTCTTCTTCTCGAGCATCGTCGTCATACCTCGACTTCAAAACCGGTGCTTTGTTCTCGTTTCCGAAGGATTTGGAGTTGCGATTCGACATGTCGCCCATCACCACTCTATCCGAGCCCGGCTTCTCCCCACGCGCCTCTGCGAGTTGACGTCTCAGCTCGGCGTTCTCGCGTTCGAGCTCCATCCGCCGAGTGGTTTCCGCCTTGAGCTTCTTCTCCAACTGAGCCATCGTGTTCGTTTGCAGGCCGTGCGTCTTGAGCGCATCGGGCAAAGGCTTGGGGTCGGCTCGAATCGTTCCTGGCGTCGGCTTTTTCGCCGACGTATCGTTCGGATCTGGTTTCGCCAGAGTCAATCCCGTCGCCTTGAGACGTTCCGCCGCGGCGCGCTGCTTGGCGAGGTCAGCATCCTTGCGGGCCTGCGCGATGGAAGACGCGTGCTGCTTGGCCAGAATCTTCAACGTCGCCTCGTCGTCTTCAAACTCCAAATCTTCGTCGTCGAGAGAGACCGTTTTTGCTCGCTTATCTCCGAGGGACGGCCCGGTCGCGCCCGATCGCTTGGACGTAAACGGCTGGCGAGGAAGCGCGCCGCCCGTTCGCGTCAAAATATCCCGTGCTCGCGCGCTCGGTGGCGGCGCACCGAACATCGCACCCTGTCCCGGCTGCGTCATGTGACTCTGACCCGTCGCGGCCGCCTTGTTCATCGCCGCTCCGTGTTTCTGCAAACTGGCTTTGAAATCGTCGTTCGCGTTTCTCTTTCCAGTCATCGCTCGTTGCGCGCTCGCCACCTCGCGAATCGCCTTTGGGACGTGAAACTCACAGAACGCGCACACCGACGCGTTCACAGCCTTCGTGCACGGTTGCCCGTCCCGTCGCTTTGCCTTGCACAGCGCAAAATCTGTCGCCGCGCCTATTTTCATCAACTGTCCCGCCTCGCGCGTCGACACGTGCCCGCGTTTGTACCACGCGGCGTCGAACACGGCCCATATCATCCCCACCACCCCCCCACTCCCTCTCCCATCATCCCGCTCCGGATGATGCGCGTCGAACGCGTCGCCGAACACGTTCACCGTGACCTCTCCTCCGCCGCTCCCGAGGTCGCTCACCCGCCACGTCCCGTACGCCCGTCCGTCGTTCCCGATCCGTCGCGTCGCCTCGCACACCACGCCAACGAATCCATGTTTCCCACTCACGAACGACGCCGACGACGCCGTCGCCACCTCACGCGCGGTCATCGCCCGTCGTTCGCTGAATCGCTGCCGAACCACCGCACCGCTCACCGTGCGATTTGAAATTCGCAACCCACTGACGCTCTCCGTCGCCCCCTCGGTCGTCGCCCCCCCCCGCGCGAGCATCGCAGCGCTTTCACGATCGCGTCCACGCGTCCTCGCGTCGCGCGCGATCGTCCGTCGTCCCGTCGCGCGCGTCCGCGTGCCGATGCGCGCCGTCGGGTCGCGCGCCACGTTTCGTCTCACCGCGTCACACCGTGGACACTTTCCGTCTCACCGCGTCACACCGTGGACACTTTCCGTCTCACCGCGTCACACCGTGGACACTTCTGGCCCCGGCCCCCGGGCGACGCGCGCGCGCCCGCTCGAGCCGTCGCGACGCCGCCACCGCGACGCGCGCGCGCGTACGGCCGCGAACGCGTCGTCGGTCGTTCTCTCGACGCGCGCGCGAGGCCGATGCCGCGCGGTGGACGCGTCGCGGTGCGCGAGATGGGTCGAGCGCTCGCGCGCGCGCGCGATGGACATCGCGCGAACGTCGGAAGACGGTCGTGGTTCGTACGATCGTCGTCGATCACGCGATTGGAGGGAAGGGACGGGCGGGTGGATGCGGTGCGGACGCGGGCGAGGACGGAGGGAGGGATGGATGGGGGGTGGACGCTCGACGCGGGGGCGTCGGTGGCGTACGCGAGAAAGGGCGCGCTGCGTGCGGGCGTCGTGGAACGACGAGACGGGAAGGCGGCGCTCGTGGTGCGAGAGTTCCCGAGCTTGGAGAGCGTTAAGGTGAGCGAGAAGAGCGTGGAGATGCGGTTCGCCGCGAGCGCGGATGCGGAGACGGCGGAGGCGTTCGCGAGCGAGGTGGCGGCGAACGCGCAGCGAGCGGACGCGCTTCTATCGGCGGCTTGGGAGCTCATCAATGAGTTTGGATTGGAAGATGGAGAGGTGTGCGATGCGTCATACGTGAGTGAGCTCATGTTCGAGGGCGAAGAGCGCGCGGCGGGGGCGAACGCGTTCGCGGCGTACCGACTATTACAGTCGCAGGCGGGCGGAACGTACTTCAAGGCAAAGGGCAAGGGGACGTACGAGGCGCGACCGAGTGACCAAATAGAGGCGTTGAAGAAAAAAATAGAGGCCGAGACGCGGGCCGCGGCGGTCGAGGATGAGTTTTTAGACGAGATCAGGGCGGCAATCGCCGCGCCTCGTGGAGACAAGCCGCGCGGCCAGACGCTTTGGAGGGCGAGCGCGGAAGATAACGATGCTCGCGTCCGCAGACTGGAGGCTCTGCAGGCGTACGCTTTGGGTGATAAGTTTCATTCCGCGGTTGAAAAAGCGATGGCGGACGATTTGCTGGGAAAGCTCGGGTTCCCGCGCTCGTCAGAGAGCGCGCTCAAGTTGCTGATTTCTACAGGCACTTGGAGCACTCACGAGAACGTATCGGTGAGAAAGTACGGCGTGCCGATCGATTTCCCGCAAGAAGCTCTCGACGAGTGCGCTAGTATTTTGGCTAATCCACCCGCGGACGTCGATGCGTCTTCGCGAGTCGACTTGACGCACCTCAGCGCGTACGCGATTGACGACGCTGGAACCGTTGAGGTGGATGACGCGGTGAGCGCAGAGTCTCTCGACGAGGGACGGATTCGAGTGTGGGTGCACGTGGCCGATCCCTCCAGATGGGTCACCATGAACTCAACGCTCGATATCACCGCGCGGGGAAGGGCAACGACGCTATACTATCCCACCGAGTTGGTGCCGATGTTCCCACTGGACATCTCGGCGGGACCGATGTCGCTCGGCGCTAACGCCGAGGCGAGCGAGGCGATGACGATTCGCGCTGATGTAGATGCTGATGGAAATATCGAGGACTTTGACATCACTCCAAGTCTGGTGAAGATCGATAGAAGATGGACGTACGATGAGGTTGACGCCGAGCTCGATAGCGTGACGTGTGACGCGTCGCTTCGTCTACTGTACAAGGTCGCGAGCGCGCGGGACGAGAGAAGAGCCGATGATGGTTCTGTCACGATTATCCTTCCAGAAACGTCCATCAAAGTTCAAGGAGCGACGGCGCGAGGCGGCGAAGATGACGCCACGGTCGAGATGGTCAAACTGGAGTCAAACACAGCATCTCGAACTCTCGTCTCAGAGCTCATGATCCTTGCAGGCGACGTCGTGGCTCGGTTCGGGATCAAGGAAAATCTACCACTCCCTTTCCGCGGCCAGGGTGAGCCGCGACTGATGTCGGACGACGAATGGGACGAGATACCGGAAGGTATTTGCCAAGACATGGCGATGCGCTCGTGCATGAACGCCTCGACGGGTGGCGCAACGCCGAGACCGCACTCGGGTTTGGGTCTCGACGCGTACGTGCAGTTCACGTCTCCCATTCGCCGGTACGCCGACCTTTTAGCGCATTATCAGATTAAGGCGTATCTGCGAGGGGAGCAACCGCCCTTCGATACGGAATCGATGGAGCGTGTGATCGAGGATATCGGAAACTCTGTGGGCGGCGCCATACGCTCTCAGCGCGAGACTTCAAAGTATTGGGCATCCGTGTACTTCGCTTCACAACCCGCGTCGGCGCGATGGACGGCCAAGGTGGTCAAGTTTCTCCGTGGCGATGATTTGGTTATCGTCATTTTCGATGACCTCGGGTTCGAGTCTGTCGTGAAGCTCGACAGACCGGCACTTTTGGGAGAGTCGGTGACGCTCAGGGTTGTCGGCGCCGAGCCGCACGCCGGTTCTATCACGTTCGCTCGTGTCCATGAGTAAGATGCGAGAATACTAGGATGATTATTCGCGGCTAGAATGTTAGGGACGTAGCAAATCTCAAAGGTGGATCCAATGATAATTTATTAAAAAAGTTTTGTGCCGACGCTTGCTCACTCGCTCGCGCCACTAGCAAACAAAAATCGACACCTCACAGTCATGGCGACGAAACGCTTAGTTGACGGTGATCTTACCGGCCATGCCCGCACCTTGGTGCGGTTCGCAGTAGTAGCCGTAGGTGCCCTTCTCGTTGAAGGTGGTCTTGCGCTTCTCACCCGGGGCGTTCAAGTAGTCCTCGTGGGAGAGCTTGTCGGCGTTGACGCCGGACGGGACGTCGTCTTCGTCGAAGACGACGTTGTGCGGGAACGCCTTGTTGTTCACGAATTCAACGGTGTCACCAGCGGAGATGGTGAGGGAAGACGGCTGCGAGTTCGGAACGAGTTTATATACGTCAGTCCTCTGCCTCTCTTTCCGTCGCAATATCCACGTCATCTCTTCTCGCGCGTGGATAGATGTCGACGGGTCGTAACTCAAGAACGAGTCCCTTCAGGGCAACCGTATCTCGCGCGGTGCACTCCGTCGCCAACGCGCGCGTCGAGGTCGAGACGTACGAAGAAGCCGAGTTCGCCGTTGTCACCGCCGAGCTTGACGACGTGATCGGTCGCGAACGCCGGGGAGGCGAGCGCGAACGTGGTCGCCGCGACGACGGCGGCCTGCGAAGGGAAACGAGCGCGTGAGGTCAGCGCGGGTTCGTCTCAATTGCGCTCTTCGAATCGCTCGCGCGCGGTCGGGGCGCCGCTCGTCCACGCGACGGCGACGGGCGATGTCGTGGAATAAAATTCATCGCACGCGTTGCGCGCTCGATCCCGTCGTGATCGTCATCAGAAGCGTCGACGTCGAGGTCGATGATGCCCTGATCGCGGGCGATCGCTACCCTCGTCGAGGACGCACCTTCTTGACGTTGTCGAAGGACGCGACCGCCTTGGTTTGGACGGACTTCTTGGAGACGACCGTCTTGGAGACAACCTTGACGCCGGTGAAGGAGGTGGTGAAGGCAGACATTTTCGTGCGCGTGTCGAGTGCGAAAAGCAATGACGACGCGCGCGCGCGGC